CCGGCGGTGCGACCCCACGGACACGCTGCGGGCGGGGCATCCACGCAGAGCGGCCCTGCTTTTATCCCAGAGGCTGTGGATCATACGGTCATGCTTTCCGCCCCGCCAGCGACCTGCTGCTCGAACAAAACGATGTTCCCATCGGCCCAGTCCGCGAGTCTCGACCATGGAACTTCGTGAGAGGCGCCCGGCTCAAGCACCCGGAGGCCCAAGAACGAGTCGCTTTCGTTCTTGGCGTGCGACCGCAAGTAGGAGCGCACCTACACGGACACAAGCAACACATCAAAGCTGTAAGGACGACGCTTCGTCGCTTGTTTTCCTAACTTCCCTGATAGGTGCACGCAATCCCTAAAAGAGAACAAATCTGCTCTGCCCCCATTCGAGGCCATCCTAGTTTTCCGTACGGCTGTTTCACATGTGTGATATATATATATATATATAGAGAGAGAGAGAGAGAGATTCCTCTTCCTATATTTTTACAAGCCCGGACGGGGGGAAAACCCGTCCCAACCCCAAAAAAAAACCGGGCTCCCGGGATCTGGGGCTTTGGGGCCCTCCGGACGGGCCTCGAAGCGGCCCCCCGGGCCTCGCAGGGCGTCTTGCCAGGCCTTCCCAGCACACCTAGGACGATCAGGGGGGTCATCGGAGACGTCCCAGAGACCCCGAAGATAGCACAAGAGCGCTCCAAGAGTGACCGACGTGACCTCAAGACGACCCCCAATAAGCCATCATTTCCCCAAAGATCGTCCCGAAACGTCCCAAGAGGCCTCCAAGAGCACTCCCAAGAAGGCCCCAAGAGGCAAAAAACATTGATGTTCGATCGGTTCTTTGTGAATTTTGGGGTTCTCCTCTTTTGGGCTTCCCGACGCTCCAAGACGGCGGTCTTCTGGGCGTCCGAAGCCGCCTGGGAGGCTCTAAAATCGGCCCATAACCATTCCAAAGGGCTTCCAGGCAGTCCAAGAGAGCCCCAAAACGGCACAACAGGGGTCCAAGATGGCCCTCAGCGAGCCCCATGGCGGCCCAAGATGGCCCCAAAACACCCTCCGAAGCATTCCAAATCGTGACCCGGTCGTTCAGGGAGACCGCAGTTGGAGGCAGGGCGACCCGAGGAAACCCCCAGAGGCCCCCAGAACACGCCCAAGAGACCTCCAGAAGGCCTTAAGAAAGCTTGACATAATTTTTGCGAGGCCCCCAGAGGCTCTCCAAGGAGGAGCCTCCGCAAAAAGAGCCGAGGAGGATGGGGAGAATGCGAAGGATATGGCGAAAATGAGGAAAAAGAAACATGGAGGAAGGATAACGAATAACATTATTATTGCGGCGATGCCAGAAAAGGCAACAAAGAGTTATCGCTAATTTGTCGGCTTGACCTTCCTGCCATTCAACCTGCATACCAAACTTCAAGGACCAAGGTGCATGGCACGAAGCGCCACTGCAGTCTTGTATACATATATATATGTATAATACATCTATCGATATATATATATATATATATATATATATATATGTATGGGTCTATGTATGTGTGCGCGTGTGTGCGTGTACTTTGTGTGTGTGTGCACGTGTGTGTGTGAGTGTGTGTGTATGTGTGTGCGTGCGTGCGTGTGTGTTGAGTGTTGTGTGTTGTGTGTTGTGTGTTGTGTTTTGTGTGTTGTGTGTGTTGTGTAGGTGCTGTGTGCGTTATGTGTGTTGTGTGCGTTGTTTGTGTCTGCGTGCGTGTCTGATTACAGCTGCCACATAAGACATGCGCAGGAGGCCGGTATCGATATACCTGACGCCCCTGTCAATTTAACACAATCCGGGAAGACGTGATGATCCAACAAATGCTTGCTGTAAAAACCCGCTTCAAGTACACGTGTTTGCAATTCTACCATGCGAACATGTCGGAAGCCTTCCAGAGCCACTGGTTACACATGTGTCTGAACAACAACTTTCCGCAGCGAGTGTTGCCCAACAGAGATGCAACGTTTCTGTTCGCCCGTGCTCGCTGAAGCCTAAGACAAGTTACAGTCTCCAGAGGCAACTCGGGCCACGCACGCGCATGTCAACCCTCTGTCTCTCTCTCTTTCTCTCTATATCCCTCTCTCTCTCTCTCTCGCTCTCCGAGCAGAGTGGGAAACAACGGATGTTTGCTTCAGCCCGAGCCACACATGCAAATGATGTCAATAGAGGCGAGCAGGTGGCACGAGCACCGCATGCCGCTCCAAACGAGTACAATGGAACATGAACGTGTTCCCCTGGCAGCGTTTGCACTACCAAGGCATCCCTACTTCGTTTGTAAATCATGTGTTCAATCTGGCGAAGCTTACCGTCGTCGATCGCAGGGCCCCACCCTTAGTTGCCGTGGGTGTCAGGGCTGGCCGTCGTCGCTCACAGGATCCCGCTCCGATTTGCCATTGGTGGCCCATGCAACCCCTGCCACTGGAGCCTTCTGTGGACCTCCCTACGGGGCCACGACCCGCGTGAGGGGTGTGCCGTATTGATGATGATGATGATGATGATGATGATGATGCTGATGATGCTGATGCTGATGCTGATGATGACGATGATGGTAATGATGGTATTGATGATGCTGATGGTGCTGCTGATGATGATGACGATGATGATGATATGATGAAGATGATGCCGATGATGATGATGATGATGATGATGCTGATGATTATGATGATGATGATGATGATGATGAGTGCGAAGAGCAAGGGCAGGGAACAGAAGAGGAGGGGGAGGAGGAAGGAGGGATGCGCGGCGACGTCTCTTCAAAACGAGGACCCAACACAACAGGATGGTTGGGAACGAACGCTGGCGAAAACAACAGCGCCATGTGAGCAGGCACCATTTCAAATATTTGCAATGGTGATGCCCTTGTAAACACACAGACGTAAATTCTGGGAACAAGACGGCGTGAGCCGAACTGAGAAACCAGTTTTATAAGTTGGCGACAGCAGCGCCTCAAAACACACGCACATGAAAACAACGACTCGCTGTGAACCGAAGCTGCTTTCGAACATTTGCGATAGCGACGCACATCCAGACGCAGACGAGAAGCCTGACAACAAGACGCAAGACAGCGTGAGCCGAACTGGAAAATTATTCGCGCACGCTGACGATGATGGCGCCTCGTCAAGTCAAAACTAATGCAAGTCAAAACAACGATTCGCTGTTGAGCCGAAACCGTCTTTGAAAATGTGCGACACTACCGCCCTTCTAAACATATCAACACAGAGCCGACCTGGAAGTCATACTTCTGCAATGAAGCGAAAGCGACCTGCAAGCCAGAACAACCGCTGGTGACAGTAACGATTCCCCCCAACAGATTGATGGATCGTGAACCATAAGCGGCGGGCGGTAATCATCGTGGGCCACAAACGGTGGTCTTCGTAAGATCGATGCGGTACAACCTATGTGGTTTCAGCTACGTGGTGCAATGTATGTGGTACCACCTATGCGGTGCTAGCTACTACGTGGAGTATGCCATGTGGTGCTCGATCGGATTGCAATCGATTGTATTGCAACCGGTGGGATTACAATCGATTGACGTGCAATGAATTGGACTGCAACGGATTGGACTGCAATCGGCTGCGTTGCAATCGATGGCGGGGGGTGGGGGGACTCGACCCGGATCGTGTTTTCCTTGGACGGAGTTCTCGAGGCATCTCTGGAGGAGGAGGGCAAAGCAGACCCGACCCTGCTCGGACCCCGACACAAGGGTGTTGGGAGAGAGGGGACCGCCACACCATCGACGCCCCAGCGCACACGCGTCGAAACACGGCCCACAGGGGAAACGAAGGAGCACGTCCAAAGAGACACGCGCAGGAGCGCGACCCCAGAGGAAGCGCGCGGGGACGTCCCCAGTGGACACGCGCCGAAGCACGACCCGAAGGAAGAGCAAACGACAAAGGGAGAAGAGAAAAGGCTGTCAGAACGAGAGGGGTCGGGAGGGGCAAGGCAAGGATTGGACGAATACGGAAAACAGTGATGATGGGCCCATTTCCCACCACCACTACCATAGGTAGGAGAGAGAGGAGAAGGAGGAGGAGGAGGAGGAGAACCTCCCCATTCGCCCTTCTCCCCCGTCCTACCTATGGTAGTGGTGGTGGGAGATTGGCCCATCAAGTGAGGGAAAAGACGCAGGAAAGACCCGCGTCGTCACCCAAGGTAGTCTTTCTCAAGCCTCTGGACCCCGAAAGCGGCCCGCCACGAAGCCGAGGGAGTGAAAAACAGGCTTCGATATTAAAGGACCAGAACAAGAAAACTGACCTGTGGGCATCAGCTGGGCCAGGGTCAGCGAGTCAACCCGGACCGTGGTTTTCTCACTGGAAAGATGTTCGAGGAGCTCCTGAAGGGTGGCTGAGCAGATCCGCGGGGTGGGGCCCTAAGGCTGCTCCTCACCCCACCATCGGACCCCGACAGGAGGTTCTGGGAGTCTGGGAGGGAGGGGATTGCCCACCGCCGACGTCCCAGTGCACATACGTTTCGAAACACGGCCCGCAGAAAACGCACGAGCGCGCGCCAATGGACACTCGCCGAAGTACGACCCGAAGAAGACGCACAAGAAGAGAGAAGAAGAAGCTGGCAGGACGAGATGGGGTAGGGTAGGAGACGGAAAACAGAGGAAGGAGACAAAAGGAAAAAACTCGGTGCCAGCAGGTCCTTGCGCGACCACGAGCAGCGTTCCGAGCAGGAAGGGCGGACTGGGCACGGTCGAAACAGCCACAAGAACGTGGATCAAGAGCACGAGCCCTCCGTCAATGGCCAGCGGCATGCGAAGCAGCACCCTGCGCTCGCCGAGCATGCGAAGCGCGCCAGGTGTTGAAGTCACTCTACGGATGGGGTCATCGGCGTCTGGGCCCACGCCATCGGCGTCCTGGACTCCGCCGTCGCCGTCCCAGCCTCCAAAACGCATGCGTGAACAGATTGCTGATATTTGAATCCCCTAGCGGGCGGGGGTGGGGGAAGCGTGGCAAGGCTCTACTCCCCGGTTCGATTGTTTAAACACAAGTGAAATGGGCAGTGGCCGGAAGACCTCGCTCGTATTGAACGTACTTGTGTCGTCCGTGCAAGATCCGACAGACAAGATCATTACCCCGAAGGAGACCGCATGGGTTCCAGGAAAGATGGCCAGGGAATCACCTAATTGCCAGGAAGTAGTAGTGGTAGTAGTCGTAGTAGTAGTGGTAGTAGTAGTAGTAGTAGTAGTAGTAGTAGTAGTAGTAGTAGTAGCAGTAGTAGTAGTAGTAGAAGTAATAGTAGTAGTAGTAGTGGTAGTAGTAGCAGCAGTAGCAGTCGCAGTAGTGATAGCAGTGATAATAGTAGTCGTAGTAGTAGTAGTAGCAGTAGTAGTAGTAGTAGTAGTAGTAGTAGTAGTGGTAGTAGTAGTAGTAGTAGTAGTGACAGCAGTAGTAGTAGTAGTCGCAGTAGTAGTAGTAGTAGTAGTAGTAGTAGTAGTAGTAGTAGTAGTAGTAGCAGTGGCAGTTGTAATAGTAGTACTACTAGTGGTGGTAGTAGTAGTGGTGATAGTAGTGCAGTAGTAGTAGTAGTAGTAGTAGTAGTAGTAGTAGTAGTAGGAGGTAGTAGTAGTAGTAGTAGTAGTAGTAGTAGTGGTGGTGGTGGTGGTGGTAGTAGTAGTAGTAGTAGTAGTGGTGGTAGTAATAGTAGTAGTCGTAGTAGTAGAAGTAGTAGAAATAGTAGTAGTAGTAGTAGTAGTAGTAGTAGTAGTAGTAGTGACATTAGTAGTAGTAGTAGTAGTAGTCGTAGTAGTCGTAGTAGCAGTAGTAGTAGTCGTAGTAGTAGTAGTAGTAGTAGTAATAATAGTAGTAGTAGTAGTAGTAGTAGCTGTCGTTGTTGCAGTAGTAGTTGTAGTAGTAGTAGTAATGATAGTCGTGACAGTAGTGATAGAAGTAGTAGTAGTCGTAGTAGTAGTAGTAGTAGTAGCAGCAGCAGTCGCAACAGCGACAGTAATAGTAGTAGTAGTAGTAGTAGTAGTAGTAGTAGTAGTAGTAGTAATAGTAGTAGTAGTACTAGTGGTGGTAGTTGACATAGTAGTAATACGAGTGGTAATAGTAGTAGTAGTAGTAGTAGTAGCAGTAGTAGGAGTAGGAATAGGAGTAGTAGTAGTAGTAGTAGTAGTAGTAGTAGTAGTAGTAGTAGTAGAAGCAGTAGAAGCAGAAGAATTTGTGATACAACTAGTAGTAGTCGTAGTAGTAGTAGTAGTAGTAGTAGTGGTAGTAGTAGGAGTAGGACTAGTAATAATACGAATAGTAGTAGTAGTAGTAGTAGTAGTAGCAATAATAGTAGTAGTAGTAGTAGTAGTAGTAGTAGTAGTAGTAGTAGTAGTAGTAGTAATTATTCACTGCGTGGAGCTCCCCATGCGTGCATCTATTCGCATGGACCTGTCCGCCGTGAATGTCTAGGCGCAAGAGCTTTCGAATATAAACGGGCTTCAGTTGTGGCGGCCTGGTCATGAATCGAACTGCGAATGAGTTGGAGTGTGAATGAGCCTCAGTAGTACGAGCGCGCCTCTGCGCATGAGCCTGGGGCCTCCTGGGGCCTCCTGAAACCTACTGGGTTTTCCTGGGGCCTCCAGGAGTTTGTTGGGACCTCCTGGGGCCTCCTGGGACCTCCCAGGGAGGCTTCGTGCCCCAGGAGAGGCCCAATCTATAGCAACCGACGTACAAAAAACATTGCGGATTGGAGCCACTTTTGTACACACCAGGCAGCTCGTGCAGCACGAGCCGATCCCGCCGCCAGAATGGCGCGAGCCGCGGAGCGCGGCTGGGAGGCTCCGCAAACAGCGGCCTCCACAATCAGCGTGCACGCCACGCTGCGTGGGTGTGCGCCGTCAGGTGAGGCAGCCACGCGAGCCACACTCGCCACGCCACGTGGGTGTGCAATGCGGCGCCTCCCACAAAAGGTGAGAAGCAGAAATGCGCCCAGAGGCTACCGCAACAGCTCGAGGAGTGTCGCCGCGGCAGCGGGCGCGCTGGGTCAGCGAGCGGCACGGCGGGCGCGGCGCGAGCCCTCGCCGTCGATGCGTCTGGCCGCCTCTTCGATGGACTCAGGCTCCCAGACCGCGCCTCCGTGCCAGGCCCCAGGATCAGCGAGAAGCCGTCTCACCCAGCGGAGCCCCTCGCGCTGCTGGGCAGGCGTCGGGGGCACCTCCACCCCAGCTGCGGCATCGGCGGCCTGCCAGCCAGGTCTGCGGAGGTCGCGGTCGTCGATGGGCACCGCGGCACCCTTGACGACCTGAAGTCGGAGTCGATCGAGGCGAAGGCGAGCACGAACCGCCGCACCGAGCTGGGGAGCGGGCGCGAGGGCCGCGGCGTCCCCCACCACCAGCTCCAGCACGTCACCGTGCACCTCCTCCACGACATCCTCCTCGGGCCCTTCCTCGAGCCCGTCGGCCGAGATGAACACCACGGAGGCGTCTCCCTGCCCGTCGTCGACGTCGTCAGCCGCAGCGCCGACGGCGAGAGCCTCGGGGCCCTCCGCCACCACGAAGTCCGCGTCACAAGCCGAAGGGGGCGCGCTCGAGGCCGCACTCGCGCACGCCGCGGAGTGGTTGAAGCCGTCCAGCTCCTTCAGGCCGCCTCCGAACTCGTGGCAGGCAAGCTGCCTGGCCGAGCCCTGCTCCGCACGCTCGAGGTCCCCTTTCCACCAGCGGGGCCCCGAGGCGAGCGGGGCGGGCACGGGGGCAGCCGAAAGACGCGCTCGATCAGCGAGAGCGAAGCGGGCGCCCGCTGGGAGGCTGCGCCCTCGGCGGCAGGCGACCTCCCAGGAAGCCGGCACGCCCTCGGCGGCCGAGCGAGCCGCGGGCTGGCGCCGGTGGGGCAGGGCGCCGGAAGCCCCGCGAGGCGGCCGCAGCCGCACCGGAGGCCCAGCACCAGCAGGGCGAAGAGGAGGAAGAGCTCCACGGCCGCGAACACCAGCGCCGCGACCGTGACGAGGCTGCCCCCCATGCCGACCCCGCCGTGCCCTCGGAGCAGCCGAGCGTTGCAGGCGGTTGAGCGCCCGCTGAGATAGCCTGCGCACCTCCGCCGCCGAGATCGTCGGGTTGTGGCTGACCACGTTCCGACGCCCGACGTCCAGGGTGGCTGCAGGCTCGTTGAGGAGGTCCGCCGCCATGACGGGCGCGACCAGCGCCAGCCTTGCGACGACCTCGGGGACCGCGGCGCGGAGCAGCGGGTCCCTCTTGCCGTCCAGGTCCGCGGAGTCCTCGCACAAGCTGTCGACGTCGCCGCCCGAGCCAGCACCAGGAAGATCACCACCGTCATGGACAGCATCCGCCGCAGGGGCCGCGGAGCCGCGGGCCTCCTGCGCGGCTGCGCGCGCCGCAGCCGTGGCCACCGCCTGGCTAGCGTCCAGTGCGTGGCCCAGCTCCGCCTGGAGCCGCGCGCACTCCGCCTCGAGGTCGGTCACCCGCGCCAGGGCCGCCTGCAGCCGCCCAGCGCAGGCAGCGCGAGCCGCCGCCTGCCTGGAGCGCCTCGCGGGCCAGAGGGAGCCCCCAGCGCATGGCGGCTCAGCAGCCGCGCGGGCTGCTTGGCCGCCGCCCGCAGCCATCCCCCCAAGCGTCCGATCTCTGCGGCCTCCCGCGGGGCCCAAAATGAGAGCGAGCAGAAAGGGAACGGCTTGAGCCAAAATGGCTACGGACGGATTGGAGCCACAGGAGAAGGGCAATCTATAGGAACACACGTAAAGCACCAAGGACTCGTGCCACAAGGGAGGTCCAACATATAGGAACATAAATAAACAAAAATCGAAGTGTGTTCACAGGAGAAGGACAAACTATAGAAACATACGTGTAGCTTATAACGTCAAGGAATCGTGCTCCAGGTGAGGCCCGATCTATAGGAGCATACGTAAAACACATGGGATTGGAGCCACTCCTGTTGCCTTCTGAGGCCTCCTGCTCCTGGGTCCTCTCGGGGCCTCCTGTTGCCTTCCGAAGTCTCCTGGCGTTTCCTGTGGCCTCCTGGGGCCTCCTGTGACTTCCTGAGGCCTCCTGGAGCTTCCTGGGGCCTCCTGGAGCCTTTTGGGACATCATGTGGCCTCTTGAGTCTGTCTGTGGCCTCCTGATGCCTCCTGGGACCTCATGTGGTGCCCAGGGACCTCCCGGAGCCTGTTGGAACATCCTGCGGCATCCTGGGGAAAACCTGTGCCCACGAGTCTGGCCACCAGAATTAGCAAACCGAGCGAGGCATCCTCAAAATCTGGCCCACATGGGGGGTGAAAATGATCGCCTCGCTCGAGACATCCTCCAAATCTGCTCCGAAAGCGAAGGACGTTGGGACAGAAATACAGGCAAACCGCTTGAGACATCCCCGCAAAACGGCCGCGAAGGGGACCGTGTCATACCCCTCGGCGGCCCCCCTTAGGGTTAGGGCGTGCAGAGGGAGGCAAACTGTGGAAAACAATGTTTTATTCAATGTATGGAATAAGTGTGAGAAAAGTGTGCAATCACGAAGCGGCCGAAGTATGAGTGTGAAAACGCAAAGAGATCTATGTGTGAAATTAGATGCGCCCAAAAAGAGAAGTGTGACTTCGGCGGTTCTTCAAAGTACAAGTGTGACTTCAACGAAAATCCGAAGTACAAGTGTGACTTCAGCGAACAGCCGAAGCACAATCTCGCAGTAATGTCCATGTTCTCAGCTGCGGCATTTTACCGCCATTGCGCGAACGTCACGCGCTGAAAACACTCAACGCCCATGGTGTCCAACGCGCGCCTTTCCTGACTCGCAAATTCACGTGTTGGCGCGCGCGACGCCCCCGGGCAAACATGAAGGGGCCGCGTCGCAATCCGTCGGGTTGCGCGCCCCCGCATCTATCGAAGCCGATTTCGCCGCGCCCGCCCGCCTTTGCCCTGCGATTGCCTTGCTCGTGAAACGCGCAAGTGCAGCGGCCCATTTTTCATTGGGCCAGGAAAGCCCCATGCCGAACAATTCGCTCCACCGCGCCCCCGATACACCCCTGAAGAGGGTGAATCCGAGGCCGGCGAATCGACCAAACTTCCCCCGCGCGGGCGCGCGGAAGGAGGCCGCCCAGAAGTCGTCAACGACGCAGCCCCGATCTTGGAAACCAGCCGCCATGGCAACGACAGGGCTGGAAACGCGCGAGGCGAAATCAGCGCGCATACATGCGCGTGGCCGCCTCTTGGTCTTCGGCGCGTCTCCACGCCGGGGCACAGGACGAGCGAACCCCCGGCGCGGCGGGAGGGGCGCTCGAGCCAAAAAGGCAACGGAAAAGGCGCCGAGGAAGAAAAAGGGGCGGGGGCGGAGAAGAAAAGAGAAAAACAACTTGGGAGGATGGGGGGGGGGAAAGGGAGCGGAGGAGAGACGGAAGGGCGGGGCGAGAGAACGCGAGCGCCAGGACAAGGGAGGAGAGCCCGGACGGGCAGACGACGAGCACCATGGACCAACAACCTGCTGGAAACAGACACACGGGACAAATGCGCCCAGTGGAGGGATGAAGGTAAGTTGAATGTGAAAGCATAACGCATAACTACAGGACCCGAGTGCGAGGGCGTGTCGGGGGCGGGGGGCAAGCCGCGCGCTGCGTGCCCTGCTCTTGCCGCGGCGAACTCGGCGCAGGAATCGCGCCCGGCGGTCTACGCCATGCCCGACTCAGGACTCAGCGCGCGAAGCGCGCGGCACAGTTTGGGCGGTTTACAGCTCGGCGCGCGAAGCGCGCAAGACAACATGCAACGTTGACAGCTCGGTGCGCGAAGCGCGCAAAACGGTTTACAATATCTACGCCTCGACGAAGCGCCCGAGGGCGATGGACACTCGCCCCTGCTTTTGCGTCGTCGCCCAGCCCGCCAGAGCGGCCCCGCCGAATGCGCGGGCGCGCCGGGGGCGGGGGGGCAAGCCGCGCGCTGCGCGACCTGCTCTTGCCGCGGCAAACTCGGCGCAGGAATCGCGCCCGGCGGTCTGCGCCATGCCCGACTCAGCGCGCTGAACGGTTTGGGCGGTTTACAGCTCGGCGCGCGAAGCGCGCAAGACAACATGCAACGTTGACAGCTCGGCACGCGAAGCGCGCAAAACGGTATGCAATATCTACGCCTCGACGAAGCGCCCGAGGGCGATGGACACTCACCCCTGCATTTGCGCCGTTGCCCAGCCAGGCCGGAGCGGCCCCGCCGAGTGCGCGGGCGTCGGGGGCGAGGGGGAAGCCGCGCGCTGCGCGCCCTGCTCTTGCCGCGGTAAACTCGGCGCAGGAATCGCGCTCGGCGGTCTACGCCATGCCCGACGCAGCGCGCGAAGCGCGCTGAACGGTTTGCGGGTTTACAATGCGCCGCGCAGAGCGCTGGACGGTTAACGACGTTCGCAGGTCGGCGCGCGAAGCGCGCTGAACGGTTTGCAGCGCGAACAGCTCGGCGCGCGGAGCGCGCGGAACTGTTTACATTATCTCCACCCCCGCGCGCGGGCCCACGGGCAGACCTCTGCCGTTGGGGCGTCGCGGGGCGGGCCGGGGGGTGGGACCGAGCGGGCGAGGCCCAGCGTCTGCGATGGGGGGGGCATCGAAAGCGCGGGCCCCGGGAGGAGCTCCTGGAGGCGCCCCTCGAGGAGCCTCTGGAGGAGCCTCTGGAGAATTCGGCCGCCGTCGGTTCCCCCCGGACGCGGCCCCAGGCTGGCGCCAGCGGGGCAGGGGGACGGGCCTCCCGGCCGCCCGCCAAACAATGCCTGGAGCGCGCGAGCGTCGCCAGGACGGGAAGCCGAGCCCCGGCCCGGGGGCCCTCGCGGGGGGCCCAGCCTGCACCGGTCGCCAGGACGGGACGCCGCTCGACCCTGTGCCCGCGGCGAAGAACCGCGCAATGGGCACTGGGTGCTGCCGGCACGGGGCGGCGCCCGCGCCTGCGCGTCGGCCTACGCTTGGCCCCGTCGCCGGGCGCGCGCATACACGGCGAGGGCCCGCGCCCCGGAGTCTCGACGCCCGCAAGCATGGGCGCGGAGCCCGCGCCCGATGTCTTCAGGGCCCCGGCCCACCAGGGCTGGGCCCGAGCAGCGGCCCCTGGGCCCGGATTTGGATTTTTTTAAAAAAAAATGGAAACAATTTGCCCAGTTTTGGAAGTGTGAAAAAATGCAAAAAAAATGAAACCGTTAAGTTTGAAAAAAGTTTGAAAAAAGTTCGAAAAAAGTTCGAACAAATCAGGCAAAAAGCTCGGAAAAAGTTTGGACACAGTTTGAAAAAAGTTTGAAAAAAATTGAAAATTATCCTGGCGAAAGACCCAACCATAAGCAATTGTTGGTAACGCGTTGTGGGTGCCGCTTTCGGTGGGGCTCCATATGGGGCCACGAAGCGCTGCCTTGGATGGGGGAACCGCATGCGGACTGCGCCACCGGGGCGGGCCTTCGGTGGAGCTCCCTATGGGGCTACGAAACGCTGCCCTGGGTGGGGGAACCGCATGCGAACTGCGCCACTGGGGCCTTCGGTGGAGCTCCCTATGGTGCCACGAAACGCTGCCCTGGGCGGGGGAAGCGCATGCGAACTGCGCCACGGGGGCTTTCGGTGGAGCTCCCCATGGGGCCACGAAGCGCTGCCCTGGGTGGGGGAACCGCATGCGAGAGCAGCCACTGGGGCCTCCGGTGGAGCTCCCTATGGGGCCACGAAACGCTGCCCTGGGTGGGGGAACCGCATGCGAGAGCAGCCACTGGGGCCTTCGGTGGAGCTCCCTATGGGGCCACGAAGCGCTGCCCTGGGTGGGGGAACGCATGCGAACACCCCCACTGGGGCCTTCGGTGGAGCTCCCTATGGGGCCACGAAACGCTGCCCTGGGTGGGGGAACCGCATGCGAACACCCCCACTGGGGCCTTCGGTGGAGCTCCCTATGGGGCCACGAAACGCTGCCCTGGGTGGGGGAACCGCATGCGAACACCCCCACTGGGGCCTTCGGTGGAGCTCCCTATGGGGCCACGAAACGCTGCCCTGGGTGGGGGAACCGCATGCGAACACCCCCACTGGGGCCTTCGGTGGAGCTCCCTATGGGGCCACGAAACGCTGCCCTGGGTGGGGGAACCGCATGCGAACACCCCCACTGGGGCCTTCGGTGGAGCTCCCTATGGGGCTACGAAACGCTGCCCTGGGTGGGGGAACCGCATGCGAACACCCCCACTGGGGCCTTCGGTGGAGCTCCCTATGGGGCCACGAAACGCTGCCCTGGGTGGGGGAACCGCATGCGAACACCCCCACTGGGGCCTTCGGTGGAGCTCCCTATGGGGCCACGAAACGCTGCCCTGGGTGGGGGAACCGCATGTGGACACCCCCACTGGGGCCTTCGGTGGAGCTCCCTATGGGGCCACGAAACGCTGCCCTGGGTGGGGGAACCGCATGTGGACACCCCCACTGGGGCCTTCGGTGGAGCTCCCTATGGGGCTACGAAACGCTGCCCTGGGTGGGGGAACCGCATGTGGACACCCCCACTGGGGCCTTCGGTGGAGCTCCCTATGGGGCCACGAAACGCTGCCCTGGGTGGGGGAACCGCATGCGAACACCCCCACTGGGGCCTTCGGTGGAGCTCCCTATGGGGCTACGAAACGCTGCCCTGGGTGGGGGAACCGCATGCG